ATGGAAAAATATCAATAGCTTCTTAAACTCCTTTCTGGATGAAGGCAAAGTGTTAAAAAACCCTAAAAATAGGAAGTGTATTTTAAATATATTATGAAGTTTGTAAATTAAATTCATTTGAGTATACATGTAATGTAATACCTTATTCCTTATTTAAAATCATACAATTATCCAAATTATTTCTGTCCTGGAAAACCTAGGAGAAATAGTTTCTGTTCATAATTCAATACCCTCAATATGTATTTTCTTATTAAACACTTACAAATCCTGAGCAGGAGAACTGAGAGCTGAGTTATAAACCTTGCCAGCCATTCTGAAAAATATCAAACTTTGGAAGAGGAGAAGACATGGGGGTGCCCAAGGATAGCAATGACAGGTTGTTGGTGAAGCATTTGGTACAGAGGAATGAACAGAATCTCTGAAGTCAGATGCATTTGACTCTTTTTTTGGCCACTTATTGGCTGCGGGGCAAAGCTCTGTGCCTGCCCCAACTACAAAATGAAGGTGCTTTAACCAACTAGACAGGGTTATTGTGGGAATGGGTAATGAATACAGCGGTCAGCAGTGTGTGTTTTCGTTCAGGGACCTCAGCACATACCACAGCTTCACTGCCATCCGGGTATGAGGATAAGACGGCCTGCTCCCCATTTCCTGTCAGATCCCCATTCTGAGCTTTATCTGTGCAACCTCATGTGGCAGACAGAGCTCTAAGATGCTCACCATCTCCCCCTACTGGTAGTCACACCTTGGTGTGATGGCCACCAAGCCCCCTAGACATCGCTTCTGAAGTTTGGTTACATAGGCAGTTCCCAGGTTATGAAAGAGACAGGTTCGGTAGGTTTGTTCTAAAGTTGAATTCGTACCTAAGTCAGAACAGGAGCATTTATCTATTACTGCAATATCCTTTGTCGTCAGTGAGAGTTGTATGTAAGTAGGATGTTTGTAACTTGGGGACTGCCTGTAGAAGACTGACTTCCACCTTGCTTGAGGGCTGTCTGACTCTTCTCAATCACTTGCTCTGATGAAGTAGGTTCCCATGTTGTGGACTACCCTGTGGGGAGACCCACATAAGAGCATCTTCTGGTCAACAGACAAGGAACTGAGACTGTTGGTCCAGAGCCAATGGCCTGTGAGGAACATGGGCAATCTCATGAGTGAGCTTGGAAGCAGATCCTTCCCAAGTTGCATTTTGAGATGCCTGTGACACCTGCTCTGATTGCAGCCTCAGGAGACAATGTGAGGTGGAGCACCTAGCTAAATCCTGCTCAGGTTCCTGTCTCAGAAGTGTGAGATAAAAAACATGTATTGTTTTAAGCTGCTAAACTTTAGGGTAATTTTTAATGCAGCAATATAATACTGATGCATCTCTTAATACATTTGTGGTTTCATTTGTACCTCATTCATTTGCTGTTCACTCAGTCGTCAAATGTTCATCAAGAACCCACTGAGTAAGTTTCAGAGGAATCTTGTGTGGAATAAAGATGACCCTGGAAATTTACACACTAGGGAGAAAGCAGCATTGCACATTTCACTCACAATGAAGCAAGTGCATCCTGTGTATGAGCCTCTGTGAAGTCTATACATGGGCTAGTAAGTGGCAGGCAGCATCAGGAAGGCTTATGGGGCACTATTTGTATTCTCTGTCTGCTACACAATACTACAACAGTTTTATGAGAAGATACTAAACTCATTAGCAACCAGGGAATCTCAAAACATAATGTTGTCACTTTTAATCTATGAGATGAATAGAAATGTTAGGCTATTTGAGATCGATGAACAATGTCAAGTGTTAGTGAGGATGAGAGGTATATAATTGGCATATGGCTTGGAAAAATAATTTGGGAGTATCATTAAATTTGAAATTTCTTTGATTCTATAATTTGAAAAATTTATTTTCATACATAAATCCTAGAAAAAACACTTATACATGTACAAATGCTCAAAGACATTTGCTGTAAAATTATTTAAATATTGAAGAATTGGAAATTAACATATATCCAACAACAGGGAATTAGATAAATGAATCCATGGTGTACTCAGATGGTTGCTAAAGAGAATGAGCTGGACCTGTAATTTCCAAATGCACAGATGTCAGAAACATGAGGTTGAATTAATTTTTTTCAGAGTTATAATGATACCATGCTTTGTTTCCAACTAAATTGTTTAATTTAAATTGTTTCCAAGTATTTTTTTCTTTGAAAACATTTATTTAAAGTAGCCTTTAAACTTTTCATGGTAACATGGTATCAGTATAACTCTGAAAAAAATTTAACTCAACATCATATTTCTGACAGATTATTCATTGCAGCTCAATTCGTAATAGCCAAGTCATGGAAGAAGCCCAAGTGCCCATCAATCCATGACTGGATTAATAAATTGTAGTATATGTATATCATGGAATACTATGCAGCCTTAAAAAGATGGAGGCTTTACTACTTTTATGTTTACATGGAGGGACCTGGAACATATTCTCCTAAGTAAAGTATCTCGAGAATGGAGGAAAAAGTATCCAATGTATTCAGTACTTCTATGAAACCTACTTATATTTACTCACACTTCGTTATGAAAGATAGAACACAACTATAGCCCAAGATGAAGGAGAGAAATGGAGTGGGAATGGATTGGAGGGGGGAGGTTTGATAGAGGGAGGGTAAAAGGCGGGACCACACCTATGGAGCATATTGCTAGGGTACAAGTCAAATTTTCAAATGTAGAACATAAATGTCTTAACACAATAATCAAGTAAATGAGGCAAAAGCTATGATGATTGGTTTAACGTAACCATGTCAGATTGTATAAAAAAAATCAACACGTTATACCCCACAAATGCATTGCATAAATGTATTCATGATCTATGTGTATTTGACTTAATAAAAAAAAAGAAAAGAAAAAGAACAATTCTATATATTGTTCATGGATACAATGATTTTTGGATCAAGGGAGTTGTAAATATTAAAAAGGCATCTCAACGTTATCTGTTATTATTTAAAACTTTTTTTAAAAAAGAAAGACAGACTAAATACTGAAAAATATTAACAAGTGTTTCTTTTATATGGAGGAAAATGGAGTTTTTGTTAGGTTATTTTTTATAATCTCTGTTGTTATATTCTACATATCACTATTTTCTATCAATCTCTCTCTATATATATAGAAAGAGAGAGAGATTGATAGAAAATATATATATATATAGAAAATATATATAAATATATTTTATATATTTAAATATATATTATAAAATATTATATACATATATTTATATATAAAATATATATTTTTTCTATATAGAGAGAAATATATATCTATAGAGAATATATATATGTATGTATATATATATATATACACACATCTATAAGATGGATAGAAATGTTAGGCTACTGAGATTGATGAAAATTGTCAAGTGTTGGTGAGGACCTGTATTTGGGTCCTCTGCTGGCGTAACTGCTTGGAAAAATAACTTGAGAGTGTCAATTAAATATGAAATATCTTTGAGTCTACAATTTGCAAAATCTACTTCCACACATAAATCCCAGAAAAAGACATATATGTAGAAATGCCCAAAGACACTCATTGCAAAATTGTTTAAATAGTGAAAAATATTGAAAATGAACAAATATTCAACAGTAGGGAATTAGATAAATGAACCGTGTACTCAGATGCTTGTTAAAGAGAATGAGTTGGACCTATAGTTACCAAATACATAGATATCATAAACATGGTGTTGAGTTAAAATTTTTTTTGGAGATATACTAATACCATGCTACCATCAAAACAATTTAAATAATACTTGAAATAAGTATTTAAAAAAACTACTTGAAAACAATTTAAATACATATAAGAACCATTCTATATATTAATAATGGATATAATGGTGATTAAATCGGGGGATCTGGAAATATTATGAGGGCTTTCAACTGTATCTCTTATTATTTAGTACTTTTTTTGAAAAAGAAAGAAAGTCAGATGAAATGTGGAAAAATATTAACTAGAGTTTCTTTTATATGGGAGAAATGGAGTCTTTGTTATTTTCTGTAATCTCTGTTGCTGTATTCTATTTGTTTATCTCTATCAATCTATACCCACATATGCATGTAGATATATGTAGATATTGATGTGCTCAATATGCACACATACTTTCTTTTGTGAAATATACATGCAGGCTGAGCATCCTTAATCTGGATATCTAAAACCCCAAATGTTTCCAAATCTGACCTTTTGGACCACCAACATGACACTCAAAAGTATTGTTCATTGGAGTATTTCAGATTTTGGATTTTCAGACTAGCGATGCTGAACCAGTATAAACAATTCAAATGCTTCAAAATTAAAAAAAAAAAAAGTCAAACTCTGAAACACTTCTGGTCCCAACCATATCAGATAAGGAGCACTTTTGTTTTCTTAAAATAAAAATGAGATTTAAACTGTAAATTTTAAACTGAGCAATTTAGAGTTTCACAAGCTGAGCCCAGACTACACCAATTATTAGCCATATTGTTGAAGGTATATGAGCTAAAATAATTCTAGCTATTATTTTATAGCACCTAATGCAAAAAGCAATGCTAAATATTATTTGCTAAATATCAGTAACACAAGACTATATCTGTCCATCATCTGCCTATATCGTTTATGTCATTTTCAGTCCAAATTCCTTTACGCCATAGAAAAACAGGGTGCATTAAATATTTGGCTGTGATCCTGTTGATCTGACATAAACTTCCAGAGGTAAGGAGAGAAAGCCAATAAAACAATTGCCATGAACATAGTATTTATAAAGAAATTTGTTGCCTTCAACACCCAACTGAGTCTTTGGGTGGTGGCAGCTGAAAATTTTCCCACAAATAGAAATGGGGAGGAACCTTCAGTTAAGGGATGGTTATGCCCTCTTGGCTGCTCAGAGCCCCAGGAAAACTCAGGTTGGCCAGAATTGTTATTCCTTTACCATACCAAGTGAGTCCCATTCATCCTGCCTGTGACTATGGAAAACTCTGAAATATCATGGGTCATTAGCATGTCTCTCTGTGTCTAAGTACTTTCAGAAAGGCCACATTTACATCTTTGTTCCTGAGGCTGTAGATTATGGGATTGAGGAAGGCAGAGACAACATTGTAGAACAGTGCCAGCTTCTTGTCCCTCTCTGGGTCATACCAGGAGCTGGGCCTCATGTACATGATCATGGCTGGCCCATAGAACATGGTGACCACAGTGATATGGGAAGCACATGTGGAAAAGGACTTGAGTCTCCCCTGGGATGAACGGATTCTGAAGATGGAGGCAAAGATGCACATGTAAGAGGCCAGGATGAGGGAGAGTGGGACCAAGAGCAGGATGAAACCCAAGATGAAGTCTAAGTGGTCATTGAGGGATGTGTCTGCACAGGCCAACTTCAGGACAACAGGGACCTCACAAAAGAAGTGGTTTATCTTGTAGGGGCCACAATAAGGCAGATGCATGGTGAAGACAGTGTAGACCAGGGCCCCAGCCATGCTAATGGACAAACACATTGTGACCATCTTGATACAAATGGGGCGGCTCATGAAAAGGGTATAGTGAAGGGGAAAGCAAATGGCAACATACCTGTCATAGGCCATAATGGCATAGAGGACACACTCAGCAATGCCCAGTACCAAAAAGATGAACATCTGGGCAGTACAAGCTCCCCAGGAGATGCTCCTCCTTGGACTTACCATGTTAACCAACATCTGAGGCACGGTGGTGGTGACATAGCTCATGTCCACTAAGGAGAGGATACTGAGAAAGAAGTACATGGGTGTGTGAAGGTGTGAGTCCAGGTAGATCAAGGTGACAATGAGTCCGTTGCCCAGAAGGGTGATGAGGTAGAGGAGGAAGAAGAAGGCGAACAGGGTCATTCTGACCTGTGTCTCATCGGAGAAGCCAAGGAGGATGAACTCAGTCACAGAGCTGTGGTTTTCCTTGCCAGGGCTCCACATGGTGATCTGTCTTTTAGGGACTTCCCTGCTCTGTCCTTGGCCTTGGGGAAGGCAGGATGGGATTGACAGAACCTGCACACACATGCAACAGCAGCAGAACAACCTGCAGATTAAATCAAACTTTTGTTGAGTTGGACAAAAAGATAGAGGAAGCTAGAACAGCATGGTACTGGGCAATATGTCCAAAGATCTGAATTTGTGCCTGTAATATAGCATAGCACACCTGACTGCCCACAGTGCCTCCCCTGGAAACCACTCTCATAATAGAAGACAGGACATTAAGTAGAAACGTGCATAGCAGGAGACTCAGCCAACCCCTCACCACCACCAAATTCTGTAAGGGATGCACAATAGTCCCAATCTGGGGTGATAAAAGAACTTAAAATTATGATGCAGAATTGTGATACTGTGGGTATTGGATATTGTCAACTCAGAACTAATGTGGTGGCTACCTAAAGTCATAGGGGTGCTGAAGCTACAGGTGAGAGGAAAAGTGGAGGTCTTACAGAGATGATAAAAGACATGCTGGGAACCAGAGGGGAGTGAACTTTGCAGCCCTGAGCACCCAAGAAATGGACCCTGGTTCCTGGCTGGCTCCTCCCAGACCTTCGAGACCTGCCTAGGTTTTGTTTCCCATACCATATATAAGTAGAATTTTCTGTTGAATCCTTATAATTACCACCCCATGACAATATTTTTAACTCAGCTTTTTCTGAGTGTTCTACAGTTGTCACTTAGCTCTGTGATGTTGCGCAAATCCTTTCACCTCCCTTGGCCTTAGTCTTCCCATCTGTTAAGTAGAGATAGAACATCTATGGCACAGGGTTATGGCAAGGAGCATATGAGATGCTGTATATCAAGACATCTTGCAAAATATAAAACGTTAGGCAAACAAAAAGAGTCAGTAGAAGTGGAATGAATGGGGAAATCCAAAGGGCTGAGGGCTAGTCCTGGCTTGGGTAACCCCATATCCCTCTCCAAGCTTCATAGCCCCATTTATAATATGAGGCTGTTAGTTTCCAGCCCTGTCTGATGTTCTATGGTACCAGGACCACTATGATGGCAACCTGTGATTGCATCAGCGTCTGAGCACAAATGTGAGGGTTGAGCAGAGTAAGACAGCAGAGTGAAATTGTGTTGGCAGGAGATACTTCCCAGAAGCCAGACACATATGCCCAGAGCCTTAGAGAATACACAAAGGATAGTCTCACATGTCAGGCACACATAAGCCTGGTAGTCTCTTCACTTGCTCCTGAGTCACTTAGCCTCTCAGAGTCGCAGGGTCTTCATTTGCTAAGTGGAAGTAATATTTCCATAGTGAAGATTGCATGAAATATGCCTGATTTATAGAAAATGCTCAATAAATGGAAGAAGTATATATCATGGGGAACTGGGTGGAAAGAGGAGTGGAGAGAGCAGGTGCAGTGGTATTCTTGAGCATCTGAGGTTCCACAGGACAAGGCTGAAAGCATGATCATGGAACAGATTGTCACAGGATGATGGTGGAGGTGGGGAAGATGGAAAAGCTGTCTGAGGCCGAATAGGTAAAAGAAGATGGTGTCAGACATGTATTCTACCTTTAGGAAAGAGCAATAATTGGATGAACCTTGTCCAGGATAAGGAAGGTTTGTGAAAGTAAGAGGAGACTGGGGCAGCTCAGTCTTGCACGTTGAGAGGGAAAACTTTCAAGAGATAAGGAGTGGTCAGCAGTGCACATGTAAAACCCTGGAGCCAAGATGACAAGGGCTAAGAAAAAAGAAGTGCCCACAGACTCCTTTTCCCAAATACCACATCCTCCATTCCTCCATTCCACACCCCAGACCTGGACTCTTGCAGCGGACCCCTCCTGACCTTCTCTCCCTATCACTCACTAGAAGCCACTATCTCAGTAGTTATGCCCTTATGACATCTCCCTAGATAGGCATCCAAGACCTTTTTCAATCTAGTTCTAACTTTTAAAAAATTTTGACATATTAAGAGGGTATACATGTTTTAGATTACATGGATTACTTTTGTAATACTTGAGTCCTGACTATACATGTGCCTTTTAACCAAAAAGTGTTCACTGTATTTATTGGGTTTGTTTTTGCCCCTTCGATCCCCCCTCTCTCCTGGTTGATTTCTACTGACTTTTACTTCCCTTTGGGTACATGGATGACCATCAGTTAGTTCCAGTTTAATAGTGAGTACATATGGTGTTTGTTCCAGCCATTAAAAAACATGAATCTGCATGAAACTGGAGACCATTCTCCTAAGTGGATCTAACCAATCTTTGTGTCTATGTGTTTCTCTAGTTATCTGAGTAAGACTTCTGAGCCATGATACTAAGCCACCACACCAAAGGTATGCTAGTCTGGGCAGCGGGGGTCTCCTGCCTTGGAGTCACAGATCTTCCAAGCTAGCTGGCTTTCTCCATGCCTGCCACTATGCCAGCTGTGCCTCTGCTGGGAATGCTTGCCCTACTCCATTCTGCCTCCTTACTTCCCACTCTTCAAGGTCCAGCTTAGCTTTTCCCTCTCCATTCTTGCCTGCTCCAGTCTTGTTTATTTTATGTGTTTATTATCTTTCTTGAAAGGCTGAAGGCAGAGGCCATGTCCCTTTTAGATCTCTCCATCTAGCACAAAGATAGCACACGTCTAGGGCTTGACAAAACCTTGGGCTCATGATTATGTCAGTGCCTGGGGAAAGACAATAAGGGTCCATCTGGCCAGGATAAAGTAGGGCTGGGGAGGCTGCTTTCAGAGCGCTAGTTTTTTTTTTTTTTAGATTTTTTATTAAATCATAGCTGTGTACATTAATGCAATCACAGGGTACAGTGTAGTGTTTTCATATACATTTTGAAATACTCTCATCAAACTGGTTAACGTAGCCTTCATGTCATTTTCTTAGTTATTAAGACATTCATACTCTGCTTTTAGAAAGATTCACTTGTACCCTTGTAGGATAAACCACAGAGGTGACCCCTCCAATCACCCTCCCTCCACCCATGCGGAGTGGTAGTTTTTATGTTTTAAGACCAGAGTCTTCTCTACCTCCCAAGCTAATAAGGCAGGACCAGACTAAAACTTGGGTCTCTGGCTTCATAGCCTGACAGGCTCTTGACCCCTGCACCTCCTGCCTCTCACAAAAGCAGAAGTAAAGGGGCAATTACTGTATATCCAGCCCTCACACATGCCAAGCTCCCTATTCATATCCACCCCACTTTCTCCACCTGGCAATGTTTCTCTGCCCCTTTCCAGTCTCTGTGCCTCTGATGGAGAAGGGAGAGGATGACACTCTTTGTGCAGAAGTGGGAAGGCACTCCCAAGAGGGACGTGCACAAGTCTAGAAATGGCTGTGATCAAAGTGTGTTGGAGATGGGTCGACTCTCACTCAGCAGAGGCAGGTCGTCCCTCTTCTCCTCCCCAGTGAGTGGGGAGAGAACACTAGGGTGGGGCTCCTTTGTCCATTCTTGGGGATGCTAGTGAAATGAACTTGCCCACTAGCTTCCTTGGTCCTACCTACAATTGCTTGTTCTGCTTGGGTAGCTCCTTCCCTCCTGCTGCAGCATATGCACCTGTTTTATCTTGATCACATGCAGTGTAGCAGAAGGCAGTTTATCCATTTAGCTCTGCAAGGGAGACACCCTGTCTCTTTTAAGTGTATAGGACCCAGAGCAGCCCTGGAGGGAGGGGCTTCCAGTTGGCAGATGTAAGAGTGCTCTTTGTATGAGAAGGGAGTTGGAGAGTGGAATTCCAGCCCTGGGGATTCCCTGTCTGTGCTGGTAAATGCAGCACAATGCCTCTGGGCAGGTGAAAGATACAGCCAGAAAGTTTAATGCCCCCAAGATATTTGGGGCTTGGAGCTGGAGGGCTGGGTATCCCTCTGAAGTTTTCATTGGGGACTGAAGTTTCTTCCCACTGAGACCTACAGGAGGGGGTGATCCTGTGGCTGAGCTGCCACATCCCTATGTGACACAGTGATGATACTTCTAAGATATACTCTTTCCTTTCCAAACACTTTTGTGCACCTTTTACATCCTTAGGCATCTTCTCCAAGGCCCTAAACCTAATAGGGTAAAAGAAAGCTCAGATATAACTGTCTCCCCTTATCCAGGAGAGGTAAGGGAAAAATGCAGGTTCCCATGATTTAACAAGCACCAGGCTAGCCTGGAGGGTTCAGCAAAATTGTTATAAAGTAGAATAAACAGTTACCAAAGTAACTGCTGCAGGTGTGTGTGGGGTAAGTGCCCAGCACTTTCTTTCTTATTTATTTATTTTTTATTAAATAATAGCTGTATACATTAATGCATTTATGGGGCACAATGTGCTGGTTTTATATCCAAGTGCATTTTGCAAGGGTACACTGCAAATCTACTATATATAGAGTATAAATGTCTTAATCCAGCTCTTTCTTGTCCCTAGACGGCTGGCTCAAACTGGCCCTGACTGCTTTAGAGCTGCTTGGGTTGTCCTATGGCACCCTTTAGCTAAGTATAATACTAAAATTCCTACCTAGTGAGAAATTACAATGTCATTAACTTAACATGGGTTGCATGACAGCTGCTGTTACAATGATGGTACTGTGCCTAGGTGATGTGTTCCATTGTGAACAAGCAAAAATACAATGTACAAGCTTTGAAAGACTAAATAGGAAGGAAGAGATTTAAGGCAACACCACAGGGTGGGAAGCCTGGATTTTGTAGATAAAAAGCCCCTGCAGAACACAGAATTCCTGTGCTTCCCCTGGGGCAAGCACCATAGTAAGTAACTTCTAATAAACTCACCTAAGTCATCAAGCTGGTCTGGTTTGAGTCATTCTTTGGCCTCATAGTTCCCTCTCAGGTTGAGGGTATGTTTTTCTATACTGTCCCAGGATTTTCCTGAAACAGGGATATGTTCCAAGACCCCAGAGGATCCCTGAAACCACAGATACTGCTAAACCCTGTATTCACCTAAAACATTCATACCCATGACAAAGTTTGAGTTATAAAATAGGCAGGATAGGAGCTTAACAACAGT